ACCCTCGAGGACCTGAACACAGAGCTTGGTCTGGTAGTCCCACACGCGCACAGTCCGATCATCGGAGCCACTGGCGAGGTAGGGTTTGTCTGCGCTCGGATGATAATCCACACAGTTGACGCCGCGCTCATGACCCTCGAGAGTGAAGTTGGCCTGTTGTGAGCCCAGTGACCAGACCTTAACCGTCTTGTCGAGGGAAGCAGTGGCGAAAGTGTTGTTGTCCTTGGGATTTATGACCAACTGCATTACGTAGTGTGTATGACCCTCAAAGACCTAAAAGAAACACACGCAGACAAGTTGTAATGACAGTGCTTTTTGAGGGCGGCAACGACAGGCATCATATAACGTACCAATAAAAAGCATAAGGTACAAACACGATAAGAAACAAATGTAGTCCTTTGCTATGAACAAGCCGTATTCCTCGTGTGAACATTCATTGGTAGGCTATCGAAAGAAGTCGCTCTACCAAAGAGGTCAAAGAGGTGAAAAGCCGAATGAGCAGCCACGTGGCGATATTGGTTATCAAAAGACGCGTTGATTGAGATCAATACACAAGTTCCAATATTATGGGGCATCAATTTTTGAGAGCAAGAAAACGTGCTTTGAATCAACAGAGGTCTATTTGTATGACAGTAATTGGCAGGCTGTTTTTTTCCAAATATTACTGCATAAAGGAGGAATTTCCAGAAACTAGGCCAGCAAAAACATGCGAGTTCCTGGATTTAAGGATTGAAATGGTTTTCAGATAAAGCTTTTAGAAGTTGTGTCATTCTAGTTTTTTGTGTATTTAAGTATGGCATCTTATTCAGCAGTCGTGCCGGAAATTTTCTTTTTTCTAGGAAATGTTTTAGTGAATAGAGGCTAGCCCTCAGAGAGCATTCATTTTGAATAAGATATAAAGGCTTAATGGCACTTCTTATTCTTCAGAGTAAAGATAGAACAAGAAAGTGTCAGACAACTTCTGAAAACGAAATGCAAGCTTATGGGTCTGGTATCACTGTAGTGCTCTTAGGAGTGAGTATGCACCACTATACAGGAAAACTGACCTGAGCGCAAGCCCAATTTTTCTCCCAATCCCAAAGGCGGATGAACATATCATCCGAACTGGTGAGGATGAAGGGCTGCGTTGGGTGGACGGCAATGGAGCGGATGTAATCTGAATGTGCCTCAAACTGGTGTACTCGTTCGAGCGTATTGTAGTTGTAAACCCGCAGCTAAAAAAGACAGAAAGTAGACAACGGTTATTTATTTGAGCTGAATAGGGTTGCAGATGAGGTAATGAACCGAGTTTTCGACAACAGGACAAGAAGCTTAGACGCTAATCTCTACGAAATGTTACATTTAAAACACTCGAAGTTCGAAGGAGGCTGGTATTACGATGTTCTATTCGAACGAGGAAAAAAGATTTGAATAATAATCGATGACATTCGATATAAGCTACTTATTTTTACCCGTTATGTAAGAGTAGATTATTGCTCAGTTTGACGTCGACAATTTGGTCGAACATTTGATGTAAGGCAGAAAGAAGTATTCTGAGCAAGAGGGAGTGGATGCTGACAATAAACGTACCGAAAGGACGTTATATTCAGATCTACTAAATATCTCTTTGGAAGAGTCACCAGCTCTGTGGTTAAGTTTTTTTCGGGGTTCTAAGACGGTAGTCAGTGGTACGACTGGTGCGGGAGTCAGAATCTCAAGTGTGAGAAATATGACATTTTGTACTGTGCACGACTTTAGTCCTATCTATAGGCCTCCTACTCGCAACCAGATGGGTAATTTTGGCTAAATATGTTTAGAAGAGCCCATATTATTTCTACATCTGTAGCCAACTACCAGTAATCAATTCGAGAGCAAAAGAAAACGCGACTTCAAGTGTCATTTTCGAAAAGGTATGGTACAACCATGATCACAGAACCGAATGAAGGCGATGGAAATTATAATATGCACCAAAAGCATCGGCATGGCTCTGATTATAAAAACTGCAAAGGAAGGATGAATCGCAAACTGCTATTTGGAAAAACTGAGTGGTTCCAGATTAATTGGGCATGTTTTTATGTCTAATCTGAACATTCGGGTGTGCTACCTTAAAAGAGGCCTCCGTAATCAAGTTAAAACGACAGGTCAAGTTCATAAATCGACATTGAGTAGATTTCGTGCAGTAAACTTACCATCATATCATCGGATCCAGTGACTAGCCAGTTTTTTCTCGGGATAAACCGAACGGCTCTGACTGGAGCGGCACATACTTCAAAGGTTTTTATCAACTGCTGTGTATCGATATTCCACACGTGTACGTTTCCGTTATAAAGCGAAGCGCATATCCACGGCTCCGATGAATGTAAGTCGATGGCTTTTACCCTATCTGAACGCGACGATAACTTTTTCCTGACATCAAGTCGAAGAGGCATGTTGAATTATGTTGAGAATAGACACTTAATCTGGGAGAAGGACCACCTATGACAAGGCAAAGTGTGCAACCCGGCAAATAAATGACGTGTAGCCTTGAAACCAGGATAACAAACTGGGCGTTTATAGAACGACATATTTAAACACAGAGGTCCTACTGTGATTAGTAGAAAATAGTTGTTAGAGTTTTAGAACCACCGGAAAGTAAACTTCCGTCAAAATGTGAACACCAACTTCGAAACTTCTGTTAAGATTGTTATTTCCGTAATTCAATAATGGCGGAGAGGGAGACAAGTTCTGGACGCAATCTAATAATTCCGCAGCTGGCCATAAATGGACGTATTGAAGCGACAAATTTAATGCCCTTTGCGATTAACCCTTCTTTAAACTATATTTTTACGTAAAATGTCTGATTTATGGGGTGAGAGGGAAAACACTCCAATCTTCCAACTCATTTAGTATACTATACGCGAAATCCGAATTTCGATATTTGAAGGGATTGAGTTAATTTCTGATATTACTTCATCCTCGGGTAACATTTTCCTGCAAACTGAAACACAGATTTTTTTCCTTGTTTGCGATTTTATTTTTCAAAGCAATTGATTTGGAATTTATACTTTTTAGCGCCGGTACGGCACTATCTGTACAACGTTAATTTCGAAAAAATAAAAATTCAAAAATTAATTTGACAATATGTGCAAATAGACGTAGAGAGTCGTAATAATTTCAGCGAAAAATTGTCCTTTTGGGGCAAAATTTAGCAATGATTTGCAGGTAATTGTGAACTTAAAAGCTAAACTTATGGCAGTTAAAAAAAAC